TGATGAAGAGGCCCTTACTAGTATCCCGCTACTACTAAAAGGGGAAGCAGCCATATGGTGGCAAGGCGTGAAGAAGCATGTTTCTACATGGGAGTCGTTTAAGGATCGCCTGCGCCATAATTTTGCACCCAAGAAACCAGCGTTTGTACTTTATCAAGAGATAGTTGGCGTAAAACAAACAAATAATACATCCACAGAAAATTTTGTGGCGTACAAGAGAATGCTAATCTCTCAGCTTCCAGCACCTGAACCTCCAGAATCTCATCAGCTGGACATGATTTATGGATCACTGAGGACCAAAATACAGGATAAGATTCCCCGAAATTCCTTCACCACCTTTGACGAACTATTAAACATTTCACGAGCCATTGAACAACTATGGAATGAACATACTAAAGAGGCTAAACTTCTTACGCAACAGCCAACAAAACCATTCCAGCCAAAAAAGAAATGTGGTTTCTGTCATTTCAGTGGGCACAGCACTGATGAGTGCAGGAAGCTTAAGAAGAAGCAAGAGGAATATGGTATCAAGGTTGAAGCCCCTGAAGCTCCTGTACGTTCCAAGCTGGAGAAATCCAGGGCAACACAAATGCCATCGCCTTCTTCTTCAATACATTGTTACGGATGCGGCGCACCAGGCGTAGTTCGAAGCAGTTGTACCACGTGTGCTGGTATAAAGCAAAAGGCACCACCAGCGGACATAAACTTTTGCTCCTTCAACTTCAAATCGGATGTGAGAGCCAGACCAATGGTGTATGTGGACATTGAAGGCATAAAAGGAGTCGCGTATATAGACACTTGCGCCAAAACAAGTGTGGCCTCATATATACTATATAAAAAACTTGAGGCAAAGGGACAGAGGTTTATAAGCGAGAAAGCCCGTATCACCCTAGCAGATGGAATGCCGAGGGAACAAAAGGTACTAAAAACTGTGGTACCAGTGAAACTAGAAGGGAAGACAATTCCAACTACATTTATAGTTTTGCCTGAGTCCAGAGACAACCGCACACTACTGGGAGTAGGATTCATCCAGGATGCGAGGATGGTGCTGGATCTGGCTCAATATACATGGAATTTCCTGGGCAGTCATCAGATATACGAGCTGTATCAGGAGGATTTTGTATCCTTTGACCACACCAACACATTGGAAAATGTGGGATATCTGCATGAACATTCCTCCCGACCTCTGGGGTCTGTGCAAAGGGTAGTAGTACCAAAACAAAGGGACGCCCAGGTCTACAAGCTTACGCCCCTGGATTTGGCCTCAATAACAAAACCGACTACGATTTTCGATGGATACTCGCCTCAATTCGCGGACTTCATCATGAACGATGCAGAGCGTAACGTCCGAGAAGCGGAAATCACCCTTACAGAAGAAGAGAGAGCTCTTTTTCCTAGTCCAGAAAAACATGATATGAGGTTGGACACTTCGCTCGAATTCCTTGATCTGTGTAGCTTAGACATTGTTAATCAACATAACATTAAACTTAATAAATTACTAACAGAGTACGAGGATGTTTTCATAGATAACGGCAAACCCTCATTGCTCGGAGAGCATTGTATTGTAACCAGCATTGATATCCCTATATCGGTGCCCCCTTACAGACTGTCTCAAACAAAAACAGACATTCTCAAAGCCGAAGTGGATAAAATGATAAAGAATGGGATTATTGTACCATGTACCTCACCTTGGGCTTCACCTGTAGTAATGGTGCCAAAACCTAATGGAGATGTGCGAGTTTGTGTTGATTATCGCCGTTTAAATGCAATAACGGTGCCAGATACTTACCCCATCCCTCGAATAGATGATCTGCTGCATTCAGCCAAGCCAACCCATACATGACGTCTCTAGATCTCAAAGCAGGCTATTGGCAAATTAAACTTCGAGAGGAAGATGAAGAGAAAACAGCCTTCATTACTCCTTTCGGCGTTTACAAATTCAAGAGGATGCCATTTGGATTGCGAAACGCACCTGCTACATTTCAACGCATAGTGGATAGATTTCGAGTTACCCTGGGTGATGTAAAATTGCTGGCTTATCTGGATGATATTATCGTATTTTCTACCACTTTTGATGATCACATTTCTGATTTGAGAAGAATATTACAGAAAATGAGAGAATGTAACGTAACGCAAAACAGCGAGTGACGTGTCTATGTATTCAACACGCAAACATGGAACTATTAACTACGGCATTAAAAACAGCTAACGTAATCAATGAAAATACCCCAGTAGCTCTTGTGAAGACAATCTGTTGTGAAGGAAAATTAAAAGAAAAGTGTTTGCTTAGAAAATGCAACCATTGCAAAGACAAGAAAGTTAATTTCAATTCCAATAATAACAATAATCCAATAACGTACTTTAGATGGATTTCTAAAAAATTTCCAGTGACTATTAAAGGAGCAGAAAAATTATGTCAAAAAACCGTTAAAGAAAAAGTCTTGAGTTCAAGAACAGATTTAGTTAACCATTTGCTTTCAAAGCTACCAGTATTCATGATTCACTTAAATAACATCTACCATCAATACCAAGCTATAAATCATGCAAAGAGAACGGTTGATAAAGAAACAGCAGTATTGCACATAGATTTTGCAGAAAATTACATTTGCAAACATGCTGAAGAAGTACAAGCAGTCCATTTTGGGGCATCTAAGCCTCAAATATCCCTCCATACAGCAGTATTATACCACTTTGGAGAGTGTGAATCGATAATTACTCCGTTTTGTACTATTTCTGAAAACCTAAGACATGATCCAATTTTCATATGTAATCATTTAATTTCAATTTTTAATATTATTAAAACCTTACATCCAAACTTAAAGACAATGCACTTTGTAAGTGATGGACCTTGTTCTCAATATCGTAACAAATCCATGTTTTTTCTAATGGCTAATTTTCTTGCCGTAAATTTAAATGTTCAGAACTTCATCTGGCATTATAACGAGACTGGACATGGCAAAGGCTCACCGGACGGTATCGGCGCAACAGTAAAACGAACGGCAGACCAATCTGTAGCAAGGGGCAAGGATGTCGCAAACTTTCAACAACTGATTGAGTGTTTGGAAGAAAATTGTAATGGTGTACAAATTATACCTATAGACGAAGATAATGTTATAACTATAGAAAATTTTTTGTCAAAAAGCTTAACACTGGCATTTAAAGGTACTATTAATGTTCATCAAGTGACATGGAATAAAGACAGCCCCGGTCTTCTGCATGCACGAAAACTTAGCTGCATCGAGTGTCGCCCAGATCAAATTTGTTCTCATTATGAAATGGGTGTGATTAATACAGAGTACAGTCAAATCTCTGCTGACCAAAGCCAGGACATCCTTGCTATTTCCCCATCACCCCATCAGTTTGATCAAGAAATATCCAACGAGCCCGGTCCACCGGGACCTTTTTCAGATATCGAAAATGTATCTCCAGCACGCTGCGTAGATACTGACGACGACGATTTGGTTACAGTCTCGATTCCAACAAAACGAAGTCGTAACTTCTATTTCAAATTTGTCTATGGTTCTTCGTCTGAAGAGAATTCAGACGAAGAAATTAAGAAGAATCAATTAATTGATCAGGTGTTTAGTCAGGCTTCGACCTATACAAAAACAAGTCGTTTTAATATTTCCGCATCTAATTCGTCTGATGAAGACATATTTTAAAATCAAGAACTGAGAGAGCTAAGTCTGATCTTATAAGTATAAAACAGTTGTACCTGATTAGTAAACATTCCAAGCAAGTCTGCCTTTATATTAATGGATCTCAAATTAAATAGTTATTTGTCAGAAGGTGACGATTAAAACGTCACTTCTGTGATCTTATTTAAATTTTTTTCTGTGCCTTCTTGTTGTGTTCAAGAATAATTATTATTTGGGTTTAATTGATATTAATGTATGTTAACAATTACAATTGTTTATATTAAATTCTAGGTTGTTTGTAAACCAGAATTATTTAGAATATCATCATTTCTGTTACGTATGGCGTCACATCTGTCATCGTCCTTTTTTATTTTATAAATGCCAATTTTCTCGTAATTGAAACATAAATTACCTCTGTGACTAATTATTTTGTTGATTATTTTTGTTACTATACTCCGTGCGCTGTAGCATGGTGCGGGTGACAGTTGCCTGTATGACGTTGACATCTGTCAGTACCTTATGACTAGGGAAGTGACGTTTAGCAATTCATTTTTATCGCAGACGATATGCGCGGCATATATCTAGTTCGCTTTAATATTGTTATGAAAAATCAAATAATTGTTTAACTTGGATTTAAGATGAGATTCCGTTTTCGGGGTTTTACTAATGCTTAGTTTCTAGGGATTAAACTGATGACAAATCTACTTATATTATATGACTATTGCCGGAATACTGAGACGTTACTCAATTTTAAGTCGTGCTCAAATATCGTGCCATCTCTGTCATTTTACAATGAATTTGTAGAGATAGAACTATACTTAAGCACGACTTAAAATTGAGTAGCATTTCAGTATTCCGACATATGTCTCATAGATAGATATTAAATAAAATAATTAATTAACTTTCTTTGTAATTATTTAAAATGATCAAAATCAGGTTTATGTTTTTGTTCATGACAACATTTTTCCTGGGCGCATCGGCGCGGCGGCCATTTTGTCTTCACGTGCATGAGATGCTGTCAGTCTCAGTACGAGTGCTAGCGCCTTGTATGTGACACGCATTTCGATTTTATTGTTCATTTTTATTTCCATTAAACTGTTACGGTGTGTTGAAGTTATATTTGTTGTTATTACGATGCCTAAGCATACGAAAAAAACTGTTTTGGGTAGTCAAGCCAGGGAGTTTGTTGTTCGTCTCAGAGACTACTTTGAAAGAAAACTACAAAATAATGGACCTTTGTTACCTTTAAATAGAATTGTGGAACGAGTAGCCGAAGCTCTTGATATTGGCCGCAATACTGTTTCCCGTATAACACGTGAGAAAATTGGCCAAGAAGGTACGTCAGAAAATAAATTATCGACACCCAACAAAAAAACGGACCAAGGTGAAGCTAATCACAGACTTAGATGATTTTGCTAAGGATGCAATTAGAAATCATATTTATGATTATTATAGAAGAAAGGAGCTGCGCACATTGCTCAAACTTCTAAAGTCATTGAAAGGAGCTGACTTGTTTAAGGGAGGCTTTACTTCGTTGCGACAAGTCATTAAAGATATTGGCTTTGTTTACAAAAAAGTAAACAAAAGGAAAATCATTATGGAAAGGACTGACATTGCCCTAGCAAGATGCACATTTTTAAGGAAGGCCAAAAGCATAAGTGATTGGAGCAAAGTTGTGTTTTTGGATGAGACGTGGCTAAACGCCAACCACACAATGAATAAAAGTTGGACCGACGATACAGCACAATCGTGTACCAAAGTACCGGAGGGCAAAGGTGAACGTCTTATTATTTGTCATGCTGGTACAGCAAGTGGATTTGTCCCTAATTGTTTGTTTGCATTTAAGTCAAAAAAAACTACGGAGTATCACGAGGAGATGAACTATGAAAAATTCAAAGATTGGTTCATAGGTCTATTGAACAATTTAAAAGAACCTATGACCATAATAATGGACAATGCACCCTACCATTCGGTGCAAATCAATAAACCCCCAAACCAATCGAACCGCAAAAGTGAGTTGGTTAACTGGCTGAATGAAAACGGAGTTTCAGCAGACATAAAAATGTTAAAGTCGGAGCTTATTGCCTTAGTCCGTCGTCATAAGCCAATAACTCCTACATATGCTCTGGACGAGATGGCAAGACAAAAGGGTCACCAGGTCCTTCGATTGCCACCCTACCATTGCCAGTATAACGCTATTGAGCTAATCTGGGCCCAAATAAAAGGTATGATTTTAATTCCTATTTTAAAGTTTTATAAAACACAACTTTCCAAAAGTAGCATTGGAAAACGTAAGCATTACCTATGAAATTATTCATTGATTTGCAATGATAATAATATACTTTTTCTCATGAGTCCGTTTATTTTAGGTCACGCCGCAAGAAATAATACTTCACCGCCATTTACGGCAAATAAGATGTTGACCCTACTACAAGATGCCATCAACAATGTTCAACCTGAAAACTGGTCGAAGGTCGCAAATAAAATAAAAAGGGAAATTATGTCTGATCGGGATCGTGACATTCATATTGACATCGTGTGAGTTGACTATGCAAGTTGCGCTTAATGAATATAATAATACAAATTTATCACTGTGAAATATTAGTGCAAAATATGATATTCCTAAATCGGTCTTACAAAGACATAACACCAGGTTTATGAAAAAGCCAGGAGGTCAACCAGTTTTAAATGCAGAAGCCGAGGAATACATAGTCGAAAATCTTAATCATTGTGCTGAGTGGGGATACCCTTTAGATACTTACGACCTGAGGGTATTGGTTAAAGGTTATTTAGATAGATCTGGCATAACTGAGAAAAGATTTCAAGATAATTTACCTGGTCCAGATTTTGTAAAAAGTTTTTTACAAAGAAACAAAAACAAAATTTCATTACGAATTAGCCAAAACATAAAAAGATGCCGAGCGTCCGTTTCACCGCAAATTATAGAAGAATATTTTATTGAATTGGAGAAATCCTTAGGAGTGCCAATGTGTAACGTTGTTAACTATGACGAAACAAATTTATCGGACGATCCCGGAAGAAGAAAAGTTATAACAAAAAGAGGCGCAAAATACCCGGAAAGAGTCTTAAACCATAGTAAAGCTTCCACATCAATAATGATGGCAGCTGCTGGTGATGGAACTTTACTACCTTGTTATGTCGTCTACAAAGCTAAAAAATTATACGAATCTTGGGTTCAAAATGGGCCGAAAGGTTGCAGGTATAACTGTACTACTTCTGGGTAGTTCGACAGTATCACGTTTGAGGACTGGGTTCGTACTGTCGCGTTGCCATATTTCAATAACAAAGATGGAAAAAAAATACTTATCGGAGATAATCTTTCATCCCATTTGTCTCTAGACTTGATTAATGAATGCAAAGAACAAAACGTGCATTTCATTTTTCTTCCTCCAAATTCCACACATCTAACGCAACCGCTGGATGTAGCTTTCTTTAGAGCAATAAAAGGTGCCTGGAGGGACATTTTATTTCAGTGGAAAAAAACCGATGGCCGTACTTTACCTACTATTCCTAAAAGTGTATTCCCTAGTGTTTTGAAAAAATTATTAAATCGCATGGCAAACCAAACAAAATCAAATATAATCTCAGCATTCATGAAATCTGGCATAAGCCCTTTAAATAAAATTAAAGTTTTGAAAAGATTACCAGGAAACGCCTGTGGTGAACAATCCTTTAATAAAGATGCTCTTGATGAGACAGTAGTAACCATGTTAAAAGAAATGCGATATGGCACTGGAAATAACAAACCATGCAACAAGAGAAAGAAAATTGAAATAAAACCAGGTCAAAGCGTGTGCACTGATACAGAAGTAAGTGATACAGAAGTAATCCTAAGTACTGCTAACAATAGCGAACAGGAAGAAAATAGCTTTTTGAGCAATGAATCTGATTTGGAAGAAAACCTACAATTACACTGGTCAACACTGATTTTGCCACACGAACTTTGATAGCTAATTTTGTTTTATCAATCTACCCTCATCATTAAATCACAGTTTTCATTTGTCTGTTAGCCTCATATTTGTTGTGATACGGTAATACTCATAACTAGTACTACGGCGGTAAATTAACAGAAACGCTCACAAGTAAATCGTCATAAAAGTATTTGTAGTTGAATTTGAATATTTTTTGTGATTTATTAATCCTGTGAACATGTCGAGGAAGTGTAAAAATAACCCTAACTCTTTTTGTTATATCTGCGGAGAACTTACATTCAAAAAACAACGACGAAATTTTACGAATCTTGTGCTGGAGTGTTATCACCAATGTTTTGGTTTTTCTGTCGCCCATCAAGACAAATTCTGGGCCCCTCATGTCTGTTGCATAACGTGTGTGAAAAATTTAACCGACTGGAAGAAAGGTGCACGAGCTATGCCTTTTGCTGTACCCATGATATGGACTGAACAGCGAGATCACGTTTCGGATTGCTATTTTTGTCTCACTGACTTAAAAGGTATAAATTACAAGAAAAAAAAAACAGTTATCTACCCTAACGTATCTTCTGCTATAAGACCAGTCTCTCATTGTAAAAAAATGCCAGAACTAATACCAGTTGCAACAACGTCTGTTGATAACGACCATTCACAACCGTCTACTTCAAGTCGGTCTTTTGACGAGAATGATGACTTTGAGTTTGAAGGAATTGAAAAGGAGCCACATTTGATAACTCAAGGAGACCTAAATGATTTGGTTAGGGATTTAAATTTGTCAAAAAAGCAGTCGGAACTATTAGGATCTCGGCTAAAAGAATGGAATTTGCTACATCATAATACAAAAGTTAGCTATTTTCGAAACCGTGATGAACACTTCAGAACGTATTTTTCTCAGGATGGAGATTTGGTGTTTTGCAATAACATAAATGAGATCATGAAAATGTTGGACATAGATTTTGAAATCTCTCAGTGGCGTTTATTTATTGATTCTTCGAAGGCAAGTCTAAAAGCAGTTTTATTGCATAATGGAAATATGCTTCCGTCTGTTCCTGTGGCCCATGCTTCAAATATGAAAGAAACCTATGAAAATATGAAAGTTTTACTTGAAAAAATAAATTACAGTACATATTCCTTCAAAATCTGCGGTGATCTTAAAGTTGTTGCATTATTACTTGGACTTCAGCTGGGTTATACAAAATTTTGCTGTTTTTTATGTGAATGGGATAGCCGAGACAGAACTAATCACTATATAAAAAAAACATGGCCTATGCGTGCATCGTTAGTTCCTGGCCAAAAAAATGTAAAGTATTTACCCCTTGTAGAGCCAAATAATGTGCTTTTACCACCATTGCATATCAAATTAGGATTAATAAAAAATTTTGTGAAGGGAATGGATCGCAGTGGGAGTGGATTTTTGTACCTAAAAGAAAAATTCCCTAAAATAAGTGATGCAAAAATAAAAGAGGGTATTTTTGTTGGCCCTCAAATCAGGGAGTTAATAAAAGATTCAACATTTGAAGAAAAATTAAGCGGTTTAGAAAAATGTGCATGGAACGCATTTAAAAATGTTGTTGCAAATTTTTTGGGCAACCACAAGAGTGACATCTACAGAGAGTTGGTTAGCGAGCTCTTATTGTCATATCAAGCATTGGGTTGCAACATGTCACTCAAGATCCATTTTTTAGACTCGCACCTGGATTTTTTTCCTGACAATTTAGGGGCTGTCAGTGACGAGCACGGCGAGAGGTTCCACCAGGACATTTCTAGTATGGAAAAGCGGTACCAGGGAAAATGGAGCCCAAATATGTTAGCGGATTACTGCTGGACAATTAAAAGGGACCAACCAGAAGCTAAACATTCAAGAAAATCTTAAATTATTAAGTAATTTATATAAAAAAAAAGTTTGATTTACGAGATCTGTATTTTTTCTTAATTTTTTTAATTACTCAATAGAATAAAATCCTTGGCTAGCAAATTTTTTTTAACTGTTTATATTTTCTTACAATCACCAACTAAAGTAAAAAATATCAAAAAAGTCCGTGTGGCACGAAAAAGTTTGAATTTTGTTGACCAGTGTTATCAGAGGGAATATCTGCATCCAGTACTAATAATGAATCTGAGTTCCACGAAGACAGTGAAATTCCACCAAAGTCTACACTTAAGCAAAATTATAAACCTCAACACAAAATTGCAAAACTGATTCCAGAAGATAGAAAGAGAAAATTCGAAGCTAAACCTAAATTGGAAGCTACCATCGTTTCAAACACTTCAAATCAACCTAACCAAAAACTAGAAAAACAGAAGAACTATGTCAAAAGGGAACAAAACAAAAGAACTTTATCAAAACCAGGGTGTACGGATAAATTTGAAACGGAACCTATAAATAAAAAAGCGAAATCAAATTTAAAAAAGATTGTGACACAAGAAACACATAAAGAAGTTAAACAAGGACAACTTTGTAACGAAGCGATTAAACTAAAACAAGAGTCATGTCATATGGTTGAAGATCAGGAAAATCGCGATGACGAATACATTTTTAAAAAGCCAAAGATTCTAAGAGAGTATAGAAAAAATAAAAACGAAGGAATAAATAAGCCAAATCAGGAAACAAAGGGAAGAGTAGTAAGAATGGACACCGATAATAATACAGAAGAAGTAACTATTTTTAACGATGAGCTACTAAATGATCTCGACAAATTCGATATTGAAGATATGCCTTTAATTTTCGACAGTGATTTTTTATCGTAAAAGAAATAGAAGTAGTGACTCCTCAAATAGAAAAAGAACATACAAAAAGAGAAATTATTAACACAAAGGAGAAACTAGATGTTGTAGACATAATTATGTCTTAAAAATACCACAAGCAATATAAAAGTCACTTCAATCGAAAACTTTAATAACAAAAATGTTAAAATAGATCTAAGTCAATACAGGAAGATATCTTTGAGTGATTCACTTAAACCCAAGAAAAAATGGAATAATAAAAAATATTATACCAAAGATGAAGACATATTACGTGATCTCATGGACAGTACCTAAACTTGGATAGGTTCGTAAGAATAATATAAATAGTAATACTCTTTGTTTAAAACTTTGAAGATTAAGAAAGTGTTAATTTTTGAGATGATTATTTTTATAATACTGATTGTTCCTAATTTTGTTATTTTCGACTGATGGTTCCTAATTTTATTTTCATGTCTTGATAAAAAATACGTAAAATATTTGTTCTTTTATTTCAATAAAAGATTTTGGATTTATTGTATTATTTTTATTTCCAAAAATTTTAAATTTAATGAAGAAAATTAATCTTTTAGCAGAAGGTAATTAGTTCTTTTTTTAAATAGGAAAGAGACAACCCTACTATTTTTTCCCAAGTCACCCCTGTCTCGTTCCAGGTCACCTCACTTCAAGCATGAATAGGGACAGCCTATATTTTTGTTAAAATATCTAAATTTTAACTAATTCTGGGGATATTTTTAACATTTACGAAAAGGTATTAACTGCCGGAAACCCTTGGAAAGAGTTATCAATATTGCGTTCGTCCTACAACATCGATTAATTTCAGTAACAAGTTCGATTTTGTCCCTATTCACCCCATTTTACGGTACTTTAGATCTCAGGTACATAGTAAAAATGTATCTTGATAAGATAGGTATAATTCATAAAAGATTTAAAGACAATTTTCCAGGACCAGATTTTGTGCAGAGCTTCCTATTAAGACACAAAAATGAGATTTCTCGCGTGTGAGAGCTAAGGTATCTCCAGATACGATTAAAGAATATTTCATAGAACTTGAGAAGTCTTTAAATGGTGTACCTGCTTCTAACATCTTAAATTACGACGAAACAAATTTGACGGAGTACCCTGGGCGAAAAAAATTACTAATCAAACGGGATGCAAGTACCCTGAAAGAGTTCTGAACCATACCAAGGCTTCCGTGTCTATTATGATGGCTGGTACCGCAGATGGCAAAATGTTACCACCATATGTGGTATACAAGGCAACTCATTTATATGATTCTTGGATCCAACATGGCCCAGAGGGTACTCGATATAATAGGTCGACATCTGGATGGTTTGGTGGAACCACTTTTGAGGACTGGGTGCAAAATATGGTGGTTCCTTATTTTAAGAATTTACCAGGTAGAAAGTGCTTAATTGGAGACAATTTGTCTTCACATTTATCAGCAGACTTGATCCAAACATGTAAAGCGCACAACATCGATTTTGTGTTTTTACCAGCCAACTCAACTCACCTGACGCAACCTCTGGACGTGGCATTTTTCCGTCCAATGAAGCGAGCCTGGAGGCAATTATTATTAAAATGGAAAAAGACAGATGGTCGACAATTACCCACAATTCCAAAAGGTTGCTTTCCAAAACTATTAAAATATTAATAGATGAACTGCAAATAAATGCTTCAAAGAATATCATTGCTGGATTTAAGAAAACAGGAATTAGCCCTTTAAATGCAACTGAAATATTAGCCAGACTTCCCGGCGAGGACTTAGGTGAAGACCATGAAAGTGCTGTAGAAGATTCTATTCTAACACTCCTCAAAGAAATGAGATATGGTTCAATGAACATTGTAGAACCAAAAAGAAAGAGAAAACTCAATGTACTCCCAGGTAAAAGTGTCGCTCCAGAAGAAATTGAAGACTATGCAGAAACTGATGTTGATAACAGTATGGGAAATCCTAAAAAAACAAAATACGATACTAGCATCAGTGGTCCATCAGGTTTAAACAATAAAAATAAAGGAAAAGCTAAAAAAACTAT